GTATATAGAACTATTATATATTGAGTATATAGAACTAATCATAGAATATTCGTAAAGCTCGTATTAGACTATATGGATTAGGATGAAAATTAGATTGAAATTTGACTGATTAGAATAAACTTTAGACTAAACTGATTAGACTAAACTTGAGATTAATTTCCTTTCTTCTAATTAAAATATGAAATATGTATCAAGTAATATAATAAAAGTTATTTTATTATTGTTACAGATTATGTGTCAACTACAGAAAAACGGACATTCACGAGATTCAAAAAGTCGTACAGGAGTGGGTTCGACATGCTGGGGACCGAATAAATTACTCCCAAAAAAAATTAATTAAATATATTAAATTTTTTATTAAATTGTTTTAAAAAGAAATTATATGTAATTAATTATATGTAATTAATAATAAATTATGTAAAATAATAAAAATAAAATATCCAAAATATAAATAATCCAAAAACTTTATTTATGCGTGTAATTAAATATAAATAAATATATTGAAACGACTTATATAAGACTATTTAAAGATGTCATAAATACAAAAATAAAACATCTAAAAGATATTTTTAAGACATCATAAATTAAAAAATAGGGTGTCTAAAAGTCGTCATAATTTGAAAAATAAGACGTCTATAAGATGTTCCAAAGATGTCATAAATCGGATCATAAGACATCTTAAAGACGTCTTAAAGACGTCTTTTTTATAGTTTTATAAGACGTTTTACAATATTTAAGACGTCTTTAAGACGTCATAATGTTATAGTTCTATAAGACGTCTTACAATATTTAAGACGTCTTTAAGACGTCATAATGTTCTCTTCGCTAAAAATGATTTCGAAAAAAATTTATACAAATTAATGAACAACGGTATTTGGCAAAATCATGGAGAATGCAACGTCAATGTTAAACTTTTAATAAAATGGGAGGAAAGATATGGCGCGGAGGCAATGATCGCGAAACTAAATTTTCACAGTCGAAGTGTTTTTTCAGAGAACTTGGTTGCGATCGAATTGAGTAAACTCGAGATAAAGTTCGACAAATCAATTTATAGGTATGTGCATCCTCGACAAAGACGTGTTTGTATGAATTTCATTACGATTACATATCACCGCTGTATAACGAGAAATATAAAATAATGTATACGGATACCGATAGTTTAATTTAATCACATCAAAGTGCGACGACGTATACGATATCATGAAATGTGATATTAAAAGATTCGACACGAGTGGTTATGTGGATGATAATGTATACGGTATTCCACTCGCTAATAAAAAGATACTAGATTTGATGAAGGACGAAAACAATGGTGCAATTATGACCGAATTCGTAGAGCTTAGAACAAAAATGTACACCTTTCATGTCGATGGAAAAAATGATATAAAAAAAAATCAAAGATATCAAGAATAATGTAGTAACAAAATCGATAACATTCGATGATTACACACAGTGTTTGCGAGATGAGACTGAAATGACGCGACAGCAGTTTTATATAAGATCAAAATTGCGTAAAGTATATGATATCCGAAACAAAAATTGCTTTAAGTCCGTACGATGATAAGCGATACATTGTACTCGACTCTACCGACATAGCCATGGGGACATTATAAAATACTATTATAATACATATCTTGTAAATAAAAAACTCATTTGTTTTATATAATATATATTTATATATTGTAAATAAAAATTAATTTACTTCTATAATAAATTGTAATATATATATAAAGAAACTTATATTAAATTTATTTTAGAACACGTTATTTTTGTGTACCCATGAATTGTGTGAATCATCAAATCCCAACCATTTAACATAAACCTTGTTCCCCCTCCCCCTCAGAGAACATTACGACGTCTTAAAGACGTCTAAAAGATGTCTTTAATATCATAAGACGTCTTATTAAATTATAAAGAAAAGGTCTTTAAGACGTCTTTAAGACGTCTTATGACCCGATTTATGATGTCTTTGGGATGTCTTAAAGACGTCTTATTTCTCTTTATAAATGACAATTTTTAGACATACAAATGATTATTTTTTTCTTTCTAACATATTATTTAGAACTTTTTGGACATTCTATAATGGCATAAAAATTAATTATACGGAATTATACCGAAAATATTGACAAGAGAAAGAATACGATGCAGAATTTGGAATTACTTAATAAATTGATACATCGTTGATATAATAGTTACACAACTTTGATTTATCTACTTTAATCAAAAATCAATTTTGTCATTAAAAATATTGTGTAGATATTAAATCATTGATATACCGATTTATCAAGCTTTTGTCTCTGTAATTCCAACTTCTATCTCGTATTCTTTCTCTTGTCAATACGTTTTCGAATAGTTTCATCTTAATTGCGTTCTTGTATATTATAATAATATAAAATATTGGAATATAAGAATGGGGTATAATGGCAATGAGAGCACAGCGCAGTACTAAAAGCACGTAAAATTTAATAGTAATCAATGTAACATAATCAAAATAACATAAAACGGACGTTTTGGTTGATCTTTCAGCCTTCTTCAACGCAAGAGATAAAAAATACAAATAAATCTACTTAGACGGTGAACGAATCGCAAATTCATAATCAATGTAATAGCAAACATTGAAATTCAAAACGTCGGTCGTCTCTCAAAATATGGTGCATCTTCAAGAACAGTTACAGTAGTTGTTAGGATGACCAATTGCTCGATTACACGGTCGAAAGTTGAGAAATCCCAGATTGTACAGAGCATGATGTTATGATGCATTTGTATTACTGCCTGTAAATAACCGGCATGGTTCATATACGAGACGATGTGAGGGAATGCGCAGATATATAAAAAATTTTTAAAATAACTTACACATAAATTTAAAGCCGACGACGCGAATAGAAAATTCACACTCGGGCGAAACGGGACTTAGGCGGTCATTAACAGATAAACGAGCGATCGCAATGCCGTGATACAAATAACTGTTATCAACCGAGATAGCAAGATTCGAACGCAAACAATTTCGGAAAGGCTGATAAAAACGGTCGAAAGATAATAATATACATATAAGAAAAGACACGAGTGTATGTAGCGGACATGCGACGGTCGAAAAATAATAATAATATACTTATGGAAATAAATTAATATACATAATAAAAATGATAAAAACGAAAGCAACCGAGAGCAAAATTTGGTTATGAGTGCATTGTTGCACTAAAATTAGTTCAAAATAAAGTCGTTGCAGATAAAATACATGTGTCCACAATAGAAAAATAAAGGAGTAATAAGTTAAAAAAGTATGTAAAGAGTGTGAAACATATGTAAAACACAAACCGTATGGAAATCAAAATAAAAATAAAATAACGTTGAATCAAATTTTGTAGAGCTTTTCTATTGCAGTCACATATACTTCCGGGAGGCATTCAATATCAGTCTGTAAATTGATATTGTTCTTTTGTCTTTTAATGTATAAAACTTCAGAAATTAGTCGTTTGCGTAAATGTGGCTCTCTGTCTAAAATCTTAATATTCTCCCAATTGAAATCGTGATTGTATGCTAGCCTGTGATCAGTGATCACGGAGTGGTTCGTATTCCTCCGAATATGGTTCTTGTGTTCAGAGATCTTAGTATGTAATTGTCTTTTAGTCTGTCCTACGTATGACGCGTCACAATTATCGCAATTGATTTTATAGACAACATTAATGTGAGTAGATGGAGCATGAGAATCTTTGTGAACTTTAATAAAATTATTCAATTTATTGAGACTGCGATATGCTAGTTTGACATTTAAGTCTTTAGTAATGTTCTTAAATTGTTCCAAAATTACAGGAGCGTACGGTATGGTAAAGAACGAAAATCTCTCCAGTTCTTCAAAATGCTCAGTGTTGTCAGAATTAGAATTGATCTTGGAAAAGGAACTTAAGGCGTTCGTGTAGGACCTGAAATACTAAATCTAATGGATAGCCATTGTCCAGTAAAATCTTAACCACAAAATTTAACTTTTTCCGGTAAAAAGTCGGATATGATAATAAAATAACTCTATCAATTAAGCCAATGGCTGTGCCTCTTTTTTGGCATAGAGAGTGGTTAGAGAGGAAATGTAAATATCTCCCCGAGAATGTTGGTTTATGGTATCAGTCGAAAGTCAACTGATTATCGGCTAAGATTATGGTAACGTCTAGAAAATTGAGCCTATGTCTCACATCGATTTCCATTGTGAATTGTAAACGAGGGTGGAAAGAATTAAACATGTTCAGAATATGATTGAGAAGATCAGAAGGGGCTGCCAAAGCAATTCACATACCTAACGAAAAATGGAGGGGTGAAAGGCAAGAATTTGAGAGCTAGTTTCCAAGTCTTGCAGTACTATGTCTGCAATGAAGAGAGGGTGAGAGGGGGAGTCCTATGGGTATGCCAAATGTCTGTTGGTAAAACACTGCGTTGAAGGTGAAATAAGTAGAGTTTAATATGAATCTGACTGCCGTGATAAATTCGAATTTGGAAATGGAACAATTATCAGCAATGTAATTCCATCTAGCAGAGACACTTTCAATGGCCAATGCAATTGGCACATTGATAAACAGCGAAATGACATCTAAGGAAACCAAAGAGGAGTCATTGTCGATGTGTACGCCAGAAAATCTTTTGACCAATTCGAAACTATTATTGATGTGGCTATGTGCAACAGGAAAGCCTTTGAGCATGATGCAATGGATGAAAGTGGCTAATTTATACAAAGGATTGTTAAGGGAAAAACAATGAGTCGGAAAGGACAGTTGAGTTTATGGATCTTCGTAAGGAAGTTCGTAAGCTCTCGGTAAAATCCCATCACTACACAGTAAATGTCTGTAGGTAGAGGCTAGAAAAACTCGGAATCCTTCCACCTCTTTAATAAATCTCGCAGGCAAGAAGTGAGCTTTTTTGTTGGATCTTTTTTAACGACAGAATAAGTGTTATTATCATTTAGAAGTTCTTCAATTTTTCTGAAGTACACATTTTTGTCCAAAGCTATAGTAATGTTTCCCTTATCCGCACGGGTGATAATGATATTGTTATTATGTTGTAGGAAATCTCTAATAGTAGAAACGAGATCTTTTAAATGTGTGTTAACTTCACATTTAGGGATCGAATAATTAGGTAGACTGTTAATGATGTTAACTGAGCGGTTTCTAATGGCCGTTTGTGATATTATAGGGAGTTTCATAAGGTTGCTCTCGATGTTTTTTATGAATTCTGTGATCAGTTTTTCTCTATTATTGATAGAAAGACTAAAATTGTCACCCAATTATAAGAGACTCTGTACGTCAGTGGGCACAGGAGTGGAGGATAGGTTGACAAACTATTTTTTATTAATGTTTAACAAAGGATGCTGTTCATTCTGCTTGAACGTGTGTGAATCGATCATGATCTCCAAGTCCAGATTCTGTGTGTCTGTTGGAAAAATTAGTGGTTTAAAATAAAACGACGTCCTCTAGCAAAGGGATGTGAGTGAGTGGAGTGACTGTAGAAATAATGGATTGGTTTTGTGTCATTCTTTTTAACTCTGTGTTTCGTCAATAGATTATCAAATTTCTTGTTTAGTTTGTCATGTTGATTGGTAAAAAGGAAAGCAGTGGTCCTCATTGTCTAGTGAAAAAGGAATTGTAGGTAGATAGAGGGATGTAGTGATATAAATGTCGAGAAAGATTATAAATCTGAGTGTGTGAATAAAATATTGGAGTACTAGATAAACTAATTGCCAATATTTTTACAGGTTACATTATATCGAAATGGTCATGTCATTTATTCCACTCAATAAATAATGTAAATAATTATTATTATGTTTGGAAGTGTCATTTAAAATTTTTAGAGGTTATATTGATGACAGATTAAGGTTATGAAACATATGTCTTAGAAAAGATGTCTTTAAAACATCAAAAAGACGTCTTTCTATAGTCTTAAAAACGTCTTTAAAAGAACGTCTTTTTCAAGACATCTTTAAGACATGTCCAAAAAACGTATTTATGACGTCTTTTCCTAAAGTCTTAAAGACGTCTCTTATAAGACATTTTTTTAGACGTCTTTTAGACATGCGTGCTGTTTCGGTTACTACATTACTATATTTTTTTAATAGTTCTCCTACTCTTTTTTGACTAGATGCATCTATCATATTCATTCTCTCTTTAACTTTTAATAACTTCAATTGATTTATCCATTCTCTGCTCAGCAATGGATCTCTATCATATTTCACAATATACATATTTAATATTTTAACGTTATCTAAATCTTTCACTTTAACCTTAACGTAACCCAGTGGCATAAAATTTTGCTTATAGTTCGATTGTAATTTTAAATCCGTTCTGTACAGGGTTAAATTTGAAAATAAATTTTTCAAATTTATTTTCGCTCACCAAGGTGTCCGCCGAACCACAATTAACATCAAACATTACGTCTTGATTCTCTATGCGCAGGAATACCGTAAATTTCGCTCGATGCTCGAGATGCTCCTGTTCATGCACTTGACAAATTTCTTCCAACATATTCATCTGGCCTTTCTTTTTATAAATTTTTTGAAGATGGCCAAAACCTCCACATTTTTTGCACTTTACGCTCTGAAGGATACAACTGCTCACCAAATGCACGTGTTTGCATCTAAAGCATACAATATTATTAGTTTTATAATGAGAACGTTTATTCGTATAATTATTTTTAGAGGGATTTGAACGATTGAAAAATGAAGATTCCTTCTTCGCTCCTTGATTCGCCCTTGGCTCCTTTTTTTCTTCGCGACCCTTCGTCCTCTTTTGTTTTGCTCCAGTTTCCACAAAATCAATAGCTGCTTCTGTTAGGTTTTCTTCCTTCAATTTACTGATCCCCTTCTCCGCCAGCCTCATTCCGCACGCAATTTTCAACGCAGATTCCCGCGTAATATTCGCTATTTCCAGCAGCCTCGATTAGATTCGCTGATTTTTCAGTCCAAACATGAATTGGTTTCTTAATTCCGTTTGCAAAAATTCTCCAAATTTACAGTGTAAAGATAATTTCTGCAGAGCCGCCATATATTCCTGGGCGCTCTTCTCCGGACATTGCATTCGCTTCCGGTATATATAAGGCTCCGCAATTTCTAAGGGCTCCGGCGCGTAAAACTCCTTTAGTTTTTCTATTAATGTATTATATTGTGTATGGATCTATCGGATCTTGTCGGTTCGAGAGAATTCCAAAAACCTCAACACCCATGGAATACAATAAAAAATGGAATAGGCTGCTCGATCTGCCTCCTCTCGAATTTGAAACACTCGAAATGAATCTTTCAATCGCTGCAATTATCTTGCCAACGGTTGTTGTTCCGATTCAAAAGTGTTCACTTGTAACGGATTTGCTATTGCCATTTTCGACACTGAAGTCATTCCCGGTAGGGTCTTTGTCCATCTGAACCTGGAGTTGACATCTTCTATTTAATTTGCTTTCTTCCTTACATCTAATATTATTGCGCTTTACTTGCCATTTACCACGTAGCACTCTCAAAGTTTCTCGAACGGTTTCACACAGGAGTTCCACCTCAAGGAGGAAAGAAAAAAAATCTTTTTTTTTCCTTTTCACGTGCCGAGTTTACACTACTCCACAATTAAGAAAGGATCCCGTCCTCGTCGCCACCTGTTATGTCTTTGCTCGAAAAATCATGGATAACTCAGGGGCACACAAAAAAAGAGTACAAGCTTCTTGCGGAGATATAACTAATTTTAATACTCTAAACGGTGAATACAAAAGAATAGATCCGTCTAAACAGACGCCGGGTGCGAAAGTGCTCCGGAGGCACCTGCTCGTGGATCATCTCCCAATCCCGAGAGAGGGAGGGGATGCCTCGGCGAATTTGGAGCTATTATCTGATTGGTAGCGACATCCGCGAAACAATGCCGAATTTCTAAGAATCGCGAACACCGCAATATGTCTCGCCAAATTCTGCTGCGCAACTTGATATATATACGAATATATATCAATAATATTTTAATAACAGAAAAAATTAATCGTCAGTATGGAATGGAAATATAATATAATTTATATGTACATAAGGCAAATGTACAAATTTTTGGCAAATATCGAATATACGCCATCACCTCTTAGATAATTTGTGAACTATATATGCCTAACAGATGATGAGCAAGGAATTTTTAAAAAATCTTCTCTTCTTTCATCTCTTTGCCAATGACGAATTCATGTATTGTGGTATTGAAGACTATATTTTCAATTAAGACGATATTTCCTTGCTGCAATCCACAACAGCCGTTTGCTTGATCATTAGATCGCAATACATATTCTTTAAACATAACTTCTTTATATTGCGGATTTGTGCAATCATCAACAAGAATGCCGTTTGTGTACCAATTACGTACTCCCGATGTAATGCGTTGCTTTTTGTATATACCAGGTGCACATAAAATATTTTTTAATTCTACATAGCGATGATTTAATTGTTGCAAAGAGTTATGTGATTTTCGCACAAGTTTTTTTGCACAAATATTGCATAAAATTTTCAAATTTAAATGCACTGAGGGAATCAAGTATCAAAGTTTTTAACGTTATCAAGCATATAAATAAGATATTCACATTATACGAAACTTTATGTTCGTCATATAGAATTTTAAAACTTTCAATGAAATGTTCCAATAGTTGTTGTGCATAATCAATGTATTGTTTAGATAAGATTGGACTACACATAATTCTGTAACGCTAAGACTGATGAAGTGGTGATATAAACTTAGATTAAATATTGATTCGAGCACAACGGGACTAGTATATAATAAAAATTGACGAGGTTTGGTTTCTTTCCATGCAAGATATTTTGTGACCTTGATCTTCTAACAAATTCCACAGATATATTCGATCTGATTTCGATCATCCGATGAAATATTTGTTCAATTTTGATGTATGGAAGATGAACTTACAAATCGCCATTAACTATATTATGTAGCATTTTTTGCATTGTACTGAGACAGACATGCAAATAGTCCAACACTACATTTGTTACTAAACTTAAATTAGGAATATCCACCAAAATGCTGCGTCCTAAATGATAACAATCATTCATCTGAAATCTTCAACTGTTCGCTTTTTTGCATCGTTTTCCAGAAAACATACTCTATTTTTTTAAATCATCTTCTACATGGCACTTTGTACAATTAGAATATCCTGAGAAAGTTTTTACATTCAGACTAAAAGCCTTTGTTGGAGCATCACAATTTATTAATTTTGATAATATTTTTTAAAGATTTTTAGACACAGTAATACATAATCTATATATTATACAAGATTATTATTCCTTCTTGTTTAACAAATTTTTTTATAAAATAGTTATTACAAAGATACATTAAATTCATTATAAATTAGCTATTTAAATAAGAAATTTATTTAAATAATTAACATAAAATGGAAGAGGAAGAATCATTGGATTTTCAAATCGCATTTGATATACCAGATGCAGAAAAAAATAGAACTTACTGACGACGAAGAAAATTACATATACAATGTAAAAAGATGTTATGTAATGTCAATAATATCTCGATAGAATAAAGAAAAGCAGTTGAATTTTGAAAAAATAGTAAGACAAATTCAAGAAGAATTGAAAGAGTGAAACAAAGATTTCGAAATTTTTATTTTATAAAATTTCATCCGATGTTTATGTAAACAATGTATGCCAATAAAACTACATTTCCACAAATCTATTTCTTGCGTAGAGTTGCGATAATAAGAAATTATAACACGAAATATAAATGTTGATCAATAAAATATATTTATAACATTGCAATAGCTAGCACGGCAATAGCTGCCGTACGACCAAAATTAAATGAACGATATTTTATAAAAATAATCATTTTTTTATTTGTAACTTGTTTTTAATTGTCCACGGTACTGCATACATTTTTTTATATATCATCAAAACTATTTGAATATTGTTTAACAAACCCACTATCATTATTAAGATTATGATTATGTTTATTATTAATAAGAGGAAAAAGAGGCCAATGAACGAATGAAAACAAAATAATGTTACAAAAACAAATTCAAGTAAACAACATTCATTGTAAAAACAATAATTAATAGTGTCACCTTCAATATAAATTTGATATTGTACGTTTCACGCCTTCTTCAGCAATTTTTCTTAACAAAAACGATAAAAAATGAAGGGGAATTTTTAAAATGCATAAAAACTTATGCGTCTGACTGTTAACTCTTAATTTCATTCTTATAATTATTGTTACGTCCTACGTACTCTACGATTCCTTTCTTTCGAACAATTTTGAACAATTTTGAAAGATCTCGAACAATCTCGAAGGATTCGTTTCTTGATGAAAAACTATATTGCTTATTAGTAGGTATACTAGGCCGATTCTAACTCAGGGGCTCCGAGCGGGGTGCGGATGTGCGGGGTAACTCAATGACGCGGGGGTAAAGGAGAGGGGGTAACTGGTAGGCACGGAAAAGGGAGAATATTTTATCGATAGTCCTTTGGAATGTACTTTTAAGGGGGGAGAGGGTCTTTTTTTATCTAGAAAAAGCTGCTAGAAAAAATATTTTTTGTAGAACTTGACGTAGGAAAAGAAAAGAAAAAAAAGCGCCGATATTCCGGCTGCTATAAATAAATGAACGTGTCGCAACGTGTTAATTTCGAACAATCTCGAAAAATCCGTTATTCAATGAAAATAATGTATTAATCGGTAAATGAACTGTTGTGCGAGTCGTTTCGGAGAAGGGTCGACCGAGGGGTTGGCTGAGGTTCTTCGTGTAATTCACGACACTCGTCGTTGCTTTTGAATAAACTTTATTAAACTATATATTTTACACTTATTAATTCGGACCGCGATCGACGTGACGGCAATGCAACGACTTTTTACAAGTCCTCTTCCTGCATCAGTCTTCCGTTTTTATCCTCTTCCCTGCGACCGGTACTTGCAGTATAGTGACATGTATGAGTAACATGCTCGTCAGCGTTCGCGGTATATTTTCGGGTCGCGCGGCAGCTTTCCGCGTAAAAGCCGCGCAATCCGATTGGCAATTACTTTACGTGAAGCAGTCACAAAATAAATGCACGATTGCAGTTTAGCAGTCAGTATTGATTAGCAAATAATGATATTCGGATGAGTATCGTACGCCGCAATCCGTCAACGATGAGCGCGATTGCGTTCTTGGCGCTCGCGACAAGACACTTCTCCTCTCTTAATTTTTTCTTGTTTTTTTTTTTTAGTAATGAATACTGAAACGTGCTCATTTCTATTTGGCCAAGTCCAAATTTACGTAGGAAGCAATAAATTTTGGCGGCAACGTGGAAAATGGGAAATTATAAAAAATGAACTATAGAAAATGAAATGAATTCAGTAAGAAAAAAAAGAATATTACCCTTTTTTTATTTGATGTTCTACCAAATAATATCCTATCATAACCGGAATATTATTTTATTTTAAGATAGGAAATAAGTTGTTTTGATTGAAATCAAATCATATTTTTTAGCGTGAAAATGTTTTTATTCACATTTTTGTTACATCGTTTTTTTTTTTCTATACATACTTTTTCATAATATAAAAACTAAAGCTAACAGTTCGCAATCGACTGTATGCAATTCGAGTTGATACCTCTCGAAGATATCGCTATCGCGTATCACGTATGGTACCTCCTCGAGATTTGCTATAAGACGCAATGGAGAATCGCATATACTTTTTATCGATCGTATCGACGAGACTGTCTAGTTGATTGAAGGTTACATCAATACATTCGGCGAGATTAAACATACGGCGTAGTATCGATTCGACCATCATAATGCGTACGATTGAAGATTCAAGACGTACGAGTGTAACGTCGTTCATCATGCAAACTCAGACCGTTAACGGTCCGACGCTTATAAAATTGTCTTTATAATTGTTTCGTAGCAATTTGTAGATATTTCATTGCTGCTCATGGAATCCTTTCAAGAAATAGTATCTCCTGTCTTCGATGATCTGCTAGAGCGATCTCCACGTAGCTTAGTGGATCAACATTGATTCCAATTTCCAGAAACTTGAAGCTCGTAGCTATCAGGTTGTAACGTCTGTTCAGTAAGCGCACCGTACGAGGCTCCATCGAAATGCTATGTAACAGAAATTAAGTACATAATATTGCGTAATGTTGCAAAAGAAAAAAGAAAGATGTCGAACTTACGCGTTACTACTTACGTTCCTTCTTCGTTTCACTATCGTACAGCGCTGCTTCCTTTTGGCAGAGTACATTGCCTATGGTTCGTTCGTACAAACGAATAACGGAGGACTGATCGCACCCGCGGTAAATTTGGACGGGGCAGAGCGTTAATCCCCTCTTTTGAAAGATGAAGTGGACAAAAAATCCAATGACCTCGCTGAATGGCAATACTCTATTATGGTAGTATTTCGTGAACAGGCGTATTAGCTAAGAAAAAAACAAAGAATCGTACAATTGCAGATAGCATATAGCGAGTTATAGTGATCATAAGTAGAAAGAAAACAAAGGATTGCGTCATTATCAATTAAATTGTAAAA